AGTTTTAAGGCAGAGGTGGATAGATTATTGTTAAGTAAGGGAATCAATCACAGGTAGATGGGAACTCAAGACACAAACAGATTAGCAGCAGTCTTATTGAATGGCAGAGCAGGGGCTGAATGGCCTACATTTAATCTTTATCCTCACCTCTCTTCCTTGACTAAACATCTCAAATATAACTTAGGGTCAAAGGCCACATTGAACTTGAACACTTAATCAAGCAGCTGATTAGCACGTTACCAGCTGTGTTATAAAGCATAAGAACTAGGAGCAGGAGTAGGCCATCCGGCCCCTCGAGCCTGCCCCGCCATTCAATAAGATCATGGCTGAACTTTTTGAGACTCAACTCCATTTACCCGCCCGTTCACCATAACCCTTAATTCCTTTACTGTTCAAAAATTTATCTAGCCTTGCCTTAAAAACATTCAGCGAGGTAGCTTCAACTGCTTCACTGGGCAGGGAATTCCACAGATTCACAACCCTTTGGGTGAAGAAGAAGTGAAACGTCAAAGGCACATAGATATAAATATATATAAACGCCAAGGCTTTGAAGTGAAAAAGCCTTGATGATGTCATGGGAATGTTGGGGGTTAATGCAAAGTAACCATAGTCCTGCTCTCCCAGTAGACAGAGCCAACTAGTGATTGGTTAGTCACCTCCTCCTTCTTCCATTCTGAAGAAGAGTCACATCATTTGAACTTTTAGCGCTGTTTTTCTCTCTCCTCAGACACTGTCAGATCTGTTCAGTGCTTCTGACATTTTCTGTTCTTTTTTTATTTCAGATTTCCAGCGCCTGCAGGCTTTTGCTTCCATTTCAGTAATTCAATTCCCATGTGGTTGATTACCAACCTATTATTTTCACAAATGGGACCCAAAGGGCGAGAGCTATTACTGGGCCTGGGGGCTCCCTGATGCTATGAGATCCTTAATTGGGATTGTTAATATGGGCCAATCAGGGAGCCCTGGCTGACAGATATAAAGAGGAGATTCAGTGTTGAGAAAGGTGGCTACTTCATCACAGGAGAGACACTGACAGCTTCCCTGAGGTGGCAAAGACTCCCCCAAGTTATGTCAGAGGGCAGAAGGACTGATGCAGGGCTCCTGGCCACTGATAGTGGGATGTCAATTGGGCTCATTAGTGAGGGAGTTATTCCCAATGCTCTGCTCAACAGGCAAAAATAGAGTCACTGAATTGTTACAGCATGGAAGGAGGCCATTTGGCCTGCCATGTCTATACTGGCTCCCTGAGCATTTTAATTATTACCAATCTTCTGCCCTTTCCCAATGCCCTTGTACATTGTTTCTATAAACAGATAATCTGGTCTTCGTAATTTTGCTGTTTGTGGATCTTGCTACGTGCAAATTACTTGCTGTATTACCTACATCATGGCAATGACTATAATTGAAAAGTGTCCAATTGGCTTGGAAACACAGTTGGGTATTCTGAAGCTGTGAAAGTTGCTAAACAAATCCAAGTGTCTTTCTTATCATTTAGTTTCATCTCAAGGCCATATTCCATTGGGAAATTAAAGTGCACCTGCTTTGATCACTCAAATGGATAGCATTTTCATGATACACAGATTCAGACAAATTGTGATCGTGAATTTATATCAATTACAGCGTGGAGAGTATTGTGCACATGCTGCTGCCTGTGCTTACACTGTCTTGATTTTTATTAACCTTGTTTCCCTACCCTTTGATAAACTTCCTTTTCACACTCTAATTCAAATCCACCTTAAATGAGGTTACAATTGCCCTACAGGACCCTGGTGAACCAGATGGGTTTTTCCAACTTCCAGTGGTGGTTCCATGATTATCATTAGCTAGCAGGGCACACAGCCATCCTACAGTCAGTTGACCTGGAAGTCACTCAACACTCTGAAGATGTTAATTGGCTGAAGGCGATAATTGCACCCCTTGAAAAGGAGGCAAATCCACCTCAATGCATTGCCAACTCCCCTGATTTAATTGGAGTTCTGCAGCACTGGCCAATGTGAATGGTGGCCACTGACAGGACTGCACTTAATTGGTGATAGCTTCTATCATAAGTATGGGACAGAAGGTGAGGGTCTAATGAGGGATAAGGGGTAATGGGGATGGAGGTCAGGTTGGACATTCTGGAGGTGTGAGGGAGCGGCAGGTAGGATGGAACATTGGAGGGATGGAAGGAAAGAGGTGGTACCTCAATCAGGTGGTGAATCAATGATAGATGTTCTCTCTCTTTTCTGCAAAGAACTCAAACAGATTAACACAATGGCTTCTCTCCATCTCTGGCCCTCACCACCTCCTGCCAGCCTCAATATGCCATTGGGAAGGAAGCAGCCAATAAGTGGCGAATAGCATATTGAGGCATAATGGATGGACTTTATAGAAGAAGTCCACCAGTATATTTGATGGGTGCCCATCCCAGCAAAGCTGATGGCTTTGTCCTGTAATATTCTGCTCATTTATTCACAGGGTTTTTTTGTTGTGTTGGCATGCTGGTCAACTTAGAAAAAAAAAGGCTTCATTTGTGTTGACTTTCATGATATTGTCCAAAGTCCAAATCTGCATTGAAAAGAAGCATGATATTTTTGACATGTAGACAGTATTATAATGTAGGGAAAATCACATTAACATTGCATAGCAAGGTCCCATAAAGAGCAATCAAATAGGTGACCAGATCCTTTGATTTAAGTGAGGTGGAATATAGATTAGCCAGGTCTCAGGTGGGAAATCCTTCAATTAAGGATGAAAGTGGGTGGAATGCATTTTCACATCTTATTTGTGCACCTGCAAATAGCCACAGGTCCCAGATTTGCTTTGTCTCTGTGTGTTTACAGGCACTATTTCTGATCGGTACCATTTCACATAATAGAATAATGTTGCTCTCTGCATCATGCACATTGTTGTGAATGGTTACATTGTGGAATTTTTTAAGCGCAGGACGTGTGACGTGGACTCACAGGCCGGGCCAGCATTTGTTGCCTGGCCTTACTTACCTTTGAGAAGTTGGTGAGCTGCCTTCTTGAGCTGCTACAGACCACATGCTGTAGGTTGCCCCACAATACCTTGAGGGAGGGAGTTCCAGCATTTTGATCCAGGGACACTGAAGGAGCAATGATACATTTTGAAGTCAGGATGGTGAGTGACTTGGAGGGGATCTTGCAGGTGGTGGTGTTTCCATGTGCTTGCTGCCCTTCTCCTTCTGTATCATGATGGTCATGGATTTGGAAAATGCAGCCTAAGGAGGTTTTGTGAATTTCTAAGTGTATCGTGTAGCTGTTGCACATTGCTGCTACTGAGCATTACTGTTGTAGGCATTGAACATTTTTTGAGGATGTGGTGCCAATTGTCCTGGATGGTGTCAAACTTCTTGAGTCTTGTTGGAGCTGCACCAATCTAGGCAAGAGGGAGTATTCCATCACTCTCCTGACTTGTGCCATTTAGATGGTGGACAGGCTTTGGAGAGTCAGGAGGTGAGTTACCTGCTGCAGGTCTCCTAGATTCTGACACGCTCCTGTACCCGCACTATTTAAATGGTGAGCCCAATTCAGTTTCCAGTCGATGGGAGTCACCAGATGTTGGTGGTGGGGGATTGTTCTGTAGCGAAGATCATCCCTATAAATAATGGAAGCCTGTTCTTGGGCTCTGTGATCGTCGGTCATCAAAATGTCCTGACTAGCTGAAAAAAAATCTAAGGGCGAATTGAATGCTTGCACTTGTATCGAGAAAGTTAAAACACAAGCACATGGAAGTCATGAGATAACAAGGTGTAGAGTTGGATGAACACAGTAGGCCAGGCAGCATCAGAGGAGCAGGAAAGCTGACGTTTCGGGTCTGGACCCTTCTTCAGAAGAAGGGTC